CTGACGGACGGGCTCCTTCCCTCCTAGTCGGCGCTGGTCGCGGAGCAGGCGGTGCGGGGCCTGGTGCTGGTGCCCACCAAGGAGCTGGCGCGGCAGGCGCTGCGGATGCTTCGGCGGCTGGTTGCCTACTGCGCCCGGGACGTGCGCGCCGTCGACCTGGCCGGCCCGGCGGACCTCGGCGCCCAGAGGTGAGCGGAGCGCGGCGCCTTCAGGGCCGGGGCAGAAACTTCGGCCCGGTATAGCGCCTTGAGGCGCCTGCTTGGAGGAGAGGGCCTTACTCCTTACTCCAGCTGGAAACCAGCACTCTGATATAGTACAGGTGCTAATCATAAGCCTGAAAGCCTCAAAGATGAAGGGCGCCTAAAACAGGCTGTGTTTTATACAGAGGGAATCTTGAAGGAGATAACCTCATTTTGAAAAGCAGCGTGTAAATTTTAAAAATAAATTAAAATATCCTGTGGTGTTGGCCTTCCTTGGTATAATCAGGAAAGACAAATGTGGAACTTCTTATCCACCCACTCAGTTAAAAAGATGGAATGTATTTTTTCCAGTACAAGTTTCATGGTAAATCTGAGAAATGTCACAATAAATATTCATGGCCTGTTAGCATAAAAAGATGGAACACTTGATATTAGCTGATAGTTTTCTGGTAAAGGTAAAACTTCACATAGTCATGCTTTCACAGAGAAAACAAGATGGTCCTGCTTTATTGTTTTGGGCCAGTTTGCTCCAGATAATCTTTGGCTGTCCCATGGGATTGGTCACACATTAGATTTGGTCATCACCTCAGCATTTGCATGGTGAGTGGGTGGCCATACTCATTGAATGGATGCATTAAAAAGTAGATCAGAAAATGGAGCATGTAATCCTTTGTTTTGGTTAGGTCACTATGTGCTTTGAGCCCCCACACAGCAAGAGCACCCATTAAGCTGGTCCACGTAATTCACCTTCCTCTGCGTAATGCCCTTTCTGGTGCTTGAAGGGAGCAGTTGTATCCACGCACACAGCTGCCAGAGAGGATCCATAAGGGCTCAGCTGGTTCCTTTTCCATCTTGGAATACAGTTGCCTCGTCTGGGAGATTTAAGTTAATAAGAGGGCCAGTTTGGCGTCATGGTTCAAGGCTCCTGGCTAGAAACTGGGAGACTGTGAGTTCTAGTCCTGCCTGAGGCGGGAAGCTGGCTGGAGGACCTTGAGCCAGCCCCTCCCTCTCAGCCCTAAGGAGAAGGCAGCAGGAAACCACTTAAAAATCTTGCCACCAAAACTGCAGGGGCTTGTCCAGGCAGTTGCCAGGAGTCAAGACTGACTTGGAGACACAAAAGAGGTAGGAGCGCCAAACTTCAATCCTGCTCTTTCATCTTGTTCTTCACAATTTCATGGTGAAACACAGGGAGAAAAGTGGACCAAATAGGGATTGAGTAGCTCTGCCTTTTCTTTGTTACCTGTTAACATTTTGCTGTTTCACTGAGTGGCTAATGTACTGATTAAAAACAAAAACTGGGCATGTCCAAAATTTTGCTTTCCTGGCACCAGACTCTTCTGGTCTATGCTCTTTAATGGTGATCTAGTTCTCTTTCCATTTTAAAGACACGTTATTTTTTGTTTTCACATTTTCACTAACATTTCCAGATAACCACATGCTGTCCCTTTTTTTTTTTCTTTTCGTTGGAATTGCTTGGAATTATGCTTCCTGCCTATCTTCGTTTTCTTTTCCCATTAATATTTCTTGCCATGGGATTTTATTTATCATCGCTGTATTAATGTCCATTTTCTAAACTCCAAGATGTGTGTTTGACCATACTCAGTTTTAGTTTTGTTTAAAATCAAGAAGTCCTGAATAAAATGATGAGTTGGTGAAATGAGAACATGCCCTATAAGAGCTGAGGAAATTGTGTTCCCTGCTTGAAACTCTAGAAAGATGTAGAAATTTCCTTTTAGGTCTTTCAGGGCTAGAGTTAGGCCGGCACCCCCAATCCTTAGTTTTTTCCTGCTCTTACACCCACCCTTTAGCCAAACGATTTCTGTCCAGAAAACCCAATTTTAGTTTGTATCCAGAACAAAGCAGTCTTCTTTCATTACTTAAATGGACCAAAACATGTGTTTTTCATTTCAGGCATGGGCAGCCCCAGATCAGCTGTTTAGCACACAGAATAGTTCACGCACATGTTTTCTGATGCTGAGAGTGAATTAGAGGTGCATGATCCACTTGCCCTTTCTCAGCCCAGTTTTCTGGGTCTACCACAGACCACAGAGAGGTGGAGACCCTTGTCTGTCCCCTCTGCAGCTCTGAGATCGCAAAGGGTTGCAGAGCGATGCCATTTCTGCCTGGCTCTGCTGGACTGTTAGAATCCCAGCCCAGAACAGTTGGGTAGAACCTCTGGAACACAGGATTGTTCTGGGTTTCAAACAGTGTCTATTTTCTCTTTGGTGGCCGTAATAGCCACAATGCAAGCTTTCATTCCAGGGATGCTTTTTTTTTCCCTAAGAATTTTTTAGAATGCATTAAAGAAATTGCAAGACAAAGGTTACTTCTTTGAAATCTACTCAACCGAAACACTTAAACGAAAGTTTGCATGATGTACATATGATTGCCCAATCAATTATGGCAAACACAGTCAACCAGCATCAGCTTACATACAGCCTCATAAAAATAATAACAATAGAACTGGGTTATAAATTGAAAGCAATCCACCCAGCCAAAAATTAGATCTGAAAATGGAAAATTAGATTTGAAAATAAAGTAAATCAATTTTGAATTTTTTTTTTAGCAAACCTTTATATGGTTTGGATTGATCACATAATTGGATTAAAAATGTTTAGAAATTTGGGGAATTAATAGAAAATTATAACAGAAAAAAAAGAAAATCAACACTGTTTGGAAACACATAAGAGCCTGGAAAAGTAAAAATGAAAATAATTTTTCAAGTAGACTTTTGTGTCCACTGTTTTTTATTGTGGCTCTGATTCCATTGATAATTTTGAATAAAATGTCATCAGACAATGAATTAAGAATGGACAAAAGTTTCACTTTTGCTCTACATGGGTAGTTTGAAACTATAGGCAAAATGTTGTAGAAAAATACAATTGCTTTTTGATGCTTCAGAAGATTTTTTTCTCTTTATTCTTTTCTTTCTCTTCTTAATTTTCACTGCACTTTTTACTCCTCTATTTTTTTCTTTAGCTTGTATTGGGTTTTATTATTAAAATAAAAATTCTTAATAAAAATTATATATTAAAAAAAAGGATAAAGAGGAAAGGTTTTCCCATCTAGATGATGACATTGAAATGGCCTGGGCTTACATGGGTGTGATTGTCCCTAGCGTTCTTTCAAAGAGAGGTACACATAATTTCTCCAACACCAGGCTTTTACCTCTCCTGTTTTTTGTCTTGCAGACCCCTCTTGATGGAGAAACCAGATGTAGTGATAGGGACACCATCGCGGGTTTTGGCACATCTACAAATGCAAAGCTTGAGACTGCAGGATTCCCTGGAAATTTTGGTGATGGATGAAGCTGATCTGCTTTTTTCATTTGGCTTTGAGGAAGACTTGAAGAATCTCCTCTGGTGCGTTCTGGTTCTGAAGAGCTGGCGGGAGTCTGTGGTTCAATTCTGATTAAGAATTTTGATTACGATAGTAAAAACTAATACAAACTAAACTTAGAGAAAGAAGAGAATAGAAAAAAATGAATAAAAGTATAAGAAAAAGGAAGGAAGGAAGGAAGAAGAAAAATAAAAATATATAAAGAAGAGATTTCCAACCTTCATCACAGCAAGTATAAACAAATTTAGTAACTCTTCACCCCCTATAAGGTTACAAACAGATATTTCTTTATCCCATATCCTGTCCCTTATCTATAAGCAAATCCATAAAACATCAACTTTTTAATCCTGGTGTCAGCAAAAAATCCATGAGGGTTGCCAGAACCTTGCCAAAAAAAAAAAAAAGTCTTATTTTAACCTTGATCAAATAAACCAACTTTATATTCCTTTTACTTCTTATGGTCTTAATCTTTAATTCAATCAAATATTGTCATAGGATTTGATTTCTCTTCAATTCTTTATTCCATCACATAGATTTCTTCAAGGCTTTAACATCTCTTATGTAGATTTAATAAGAAAAATTTTTCCAGGTCATTCTCTTGGTTTATCATTTGTATTTCCCTTTTAATTTTTAAATATTCAGCCAGTTTATTTTGTATATCCAATAAAACGTCCTTTTCCAAATTATTCTCTTAGCTTGTCATTTCTAGTTCTTTCTCTGTCTTGTCAGATAAAATTTGTTCCACGTCTGTCATTCCATCATTAACATCTTTTAGACATAGTCTATCCATAGAAGCAGATGTCATTATTGGCATTGTTGATACTGTAGTTATTAATTTCTGGCTCCATTCTTCAAAGATCTCCTTTAATGTTTCCAATATTATAATACTTTGTGTCATTTTGTAAGTCCCAATATTAACGGATGTCAAAAACAGGCTTGTATTTTTTTTCCTACTGCTTAGAATCTTTAGTCCCCTCTAGTCTACAGTTTCTAAAACATAAAGTAACTTATTTTTGTTATGACTTACAATAGCCAAGATAGCTAAAAGAAGCCATGAGAAGCTATTTATTTTCTATAGTTAATTCCAAAATCTTATAGCAAAAGTCAATATTCCAAATTTAACTGGACCCT